CAATCCTCCCAGAGCTTACAGAGCTCTTCTTACAGGGGCTACTGTAAGCTCTTGGAGGAGGATTGGCTACATTAGGGGGGTGTCACTTAATATGCAAAGGAGTTCCTGCTACAAAGAGCCCTGCTCCTGGGATTACAAATGATCTCCAGACAGCTGCACTGTCAGGGGTGTGGCCTAATATGCTAATAGGTTTCTGTTGTTGGGGGTGGCCTATTATGCTAATAAGTTCCTGCTGGGGTTTTTCTACCAAAAAATGCCCTGGATCAGAGCATAGAGTCATTATCTACATTGAAAAGGTGTGCAATACTTTTTTTTTTTAATGGCCTTTTAAAATTTGGCAAGCCTTTGGGCACAGATTCCTCTGGTTTCGCCATCTGCCGGGGGAGGCACAGACCCTGAAGGATTCACCCGCAGCCCTCCTGAGACGTCGTGAAGCCCCCTCTCCCGCTTCAGAGATTGCCGCGGCAGCCCTCCACACTTCCAAGGGCATCACCGCAACCATAGGAGCCGAGAACTTTTTTAAAAAACAGGAAGGCCCCAGATTCTCAGGAAGTCTAGCTCCGCGTCTCCGGCTACGTCCTGTACTGTACGCGTGCAACTCTGCTAAGGGCGGGCAGGCCCCCTGCGCTTCCTTGGCCTTGAATTCCCACACAGCCCCTCCGTCCACAAGACGTAGCTCTCGAGGCCCGCTCCAGCCGAAACCCTGCAGCTTCCAAGTATCGGTCGCTGTCGCATGCCGCCGCGGCCTCTTCGCCCCTCACCTGAAGATCCGATCCTGACAGACGTCACTGCGGGGTTGCCGTGGCGATCGTTGCCGGGGGAACCCGTGGCAGGAACCCTTTCCCAGAGTGCTAAAATATATATTTATTCATATATCCTGTTTCGTGCCAAAAGCGACTCAGCGCTCTGAGACAACAGGCACACTGTTCTCGGGCAGAAGGGCTGGGCGCTCTGATTATGGGCACCGAGCAGGAAAACCTGATACCGATTCCTCTGCGCACGCACAACTACCTGGGCTCGAAAGAGAGATGTGTTAAATTATGCATCTTGCCCTAGATGCCATGCTCGGGGAACGACAGATTTCAATTCAAAACGAAAACTAAAGGAAGTTTCTAGACCTCATGGTTATACAGGTGTCTCAGGAGCCAGGAAAAACCCAGTCAATGGGACTGTAGCGCTGTGTTCCTTCTCAATCCTCCATTGCAGCGAGTCAGGGCGTAATTACTGCCAGGGCTATTTTTGGGCAGGAACGCACAGGAACGGAGTTCCGGCTGGCTCCCAAGTTGGCCACACCCAGCAGGAACTCATTAGCATAATAGGCCACACCCAACAGCAGGAACTCATTAGGATTGACTACGTTAGGGGTGTGTGGCCTAACATGCAAAGGAGTTCCTGCTACAAAAGAGCCCTGGGTTTTGACAACAAACAGAATAAGAAGCAAAAGGTGGGTGTGGCTGGATGACCACACTTCTGGTAACATGGGGGTGCGGCCTAATGTGCTAATGAGCTGTGCTGTCAGGGGTGTGG